TAGGGTTTAGGGTTCAAGGTGGGTTTTCAAAAGTGCGGTGGGATCAAATCCTTAACTGCGATTCTTTTAAGAGGGAACGGCATGGCAGTGGTGAGAACCTTCGGCCTGCTTTGCATTGCTGGCAAGGTCGGCAACTTTGTCCATCAGAGACTTTCCCACCACGTCATAGACTGTCAGCCTTGCGTCAGACAGACTTTTCAGTTCAAGCATCAGACACAGTAGCACAGTTGAACAAATTGGTTAGGAGATTGCGTAGTAGTTCCGCCAACCAAACAGGGGGCTGGGATCACAAGGTACTTCCAATTCACAGGTGGGCCGCAATTAACCCACCCAAATACTGCTATCCTTATCGTTGGGACCCCCTCATTTTGGAACCCTAGACCAAGACCCTACAAACATCTTTGCAATCTCCGCTTCCATGTCATGATCCATTTTCTTTTCCATGTGATTTGNNGATATCCCTAAACCCTGAACCCTACACAGCCAGTTTTGGAGAGCCCTGCATCCGAAGCAACCAGAAGAGCTGAATCCAGGGGAACTGGGAGGGCCCAGAGGCGATTATGCGAGATTGGTATTACATAGCAATAATGGAAAAGAAGTGCTTTTCGCTGAACCCCCAGGCCGCAACAAGACCCCTCAGCGCAGGGGTGCCTTGTTGCCGGCTGGCCATTGTGGGTGTCGCAAAAACTCGACCCCTATCCTAAACCACGGTAACTGTCCATACAGGCTTCTCTGCAGTGCACTCTCAACGTCCTTGCCTCGTGGTTAGACTTTAGATCATACAAGCATTATTGGGAGACAACGTTCTTTATCTGGCCTTGCGGTAATTACACTACAAAAGTGGTCTTTCTCTAAATTTTTGGTCCGCCTGTACATGCGAGATTCGCCTTAAGTATGTCCGAGAAACGCAGACATGTTTGTCCCATGTTCTTGTGCTTCCTTACATGGGAACCTTACATGCACTCGCCAATTTTATATATCTCACCAGAAGCCACAAGAACCCCAAACGCCAGGCAGCTGTATTGGCTCTGGATAGCACCGCATGTTCTGCAAAGAGCACTGGAGGCCTGACTTTTAGAGCATACGATTTAAGCTTATAGTCGCGCGGGATCCGGATAATGGAGAATCAAATGGAACACACATGGGAATTGAAATAGAATCTTTGGATAGGGCGTTGACAGGGATTCTGCCATGCACGCCTGTCCGCTAAATTGCAAAGCCCTCCTTCCCCCCAAAAAAGGACTACACATCCGCTGATTTTGACACCATGTAGAGAATATCCGTCATTCGGGCAGGGAAGGGTTTGGAATTCTACCCTGCAGCTTACACTGAAAACTGCTGGCAAGGATGCTGATGTCCAATGTGAGCATATCCGACCAGTTGGGCGAAGATGTTTGTGGTATCACGGCAGTTCCTTAGCTGCTGACTGAAGCTGCTACACGTGGTAGTTTCCATACATAGGGGGCCTCGTACAGCCCATCTATGCGAACCTCCGACATGATGGGGTACGGCGAGAGATGCGAACAGCAAATCTGCACACCAACTGTTGATGGAGGAAATCTTGGACCACCTAGGGCCCTCAACTACTCCTAGGACTTTCGGGACTTAGGGTGGCGCAAGATTCCATCCATCAACACAATGACAGGCAAGAGACGCTGACGTTGGCCAGCACAGGCAATCTCGACGAAGGAGCTGGGCACCCGTGAGCCCTCGCATTGCAGGTTTCGGGCCTCGCGAGCAAGATCACTTGCAGGCCGGCCTTCGTTCGACTGACTATAGCTGAAGAGTTGTCATAATAACTGTAACAATAGCAAGAATGATAATCACAAGAAGAATAACCATAATTGAATTTCCTGGCCAGACTGCAGCTAGCCCTGCATTGGACAGCAGAGGGGCAGTTTTGCTGAGACTGCCAGATCACAATGCTAGGGCTCACACCATGCTGATGTAGCAGCGAAGGTGGAATTTCACTGGCTTGCCTCAAGTCCAGCTGACTCGTCTCCGAGATGGGTTGCAAGATGTGCTATATACAGCTAAAGAGTGAACAACTGCAACACATGTCTTTTAAGGACCCTGGTACGCAAATGCGTGTGTGTATATATATATATACACATGCACTATGCGATTCGTTAAAGCCCCAAACTGTGCGAATGTGTATGTGTGTATATATACATATATATATATATCCATCTATACACAACCTCGCTTAACTCTGTGTCTGAATATATATATATATATGCGTACATGCGCACATACATACATACATACATACATACACACACACACACAAATCCGTATCTAACCCCATTTAGCACAGCGAGCCGCAGTTTGGGACACCGCGCGTGAGAACCGTCTCTGTCGACTTTGCGAAAGAGCAAAGGATGGCACCTGATGTCGCGTCGCTGTGGTAGGTTTAAAGGAGTTCTATATGAGCTATAGTCTAAACTCCTTGTATTCCCCCTTAATACACCCTATAATACCCCCTACTTAATACGCTACAATCCCCTGAGTTTAGACTATGGCTTGTATGTCCCCGTTGGGGTCCCATAGCGTCACCATGTCAAGGATCTAAAATATTCTGAAGGACGAGTCCTAAACCTTAAGCCCTAAACGCCTGAAGTCCTGAACTCAAAGCCCTATTCATCCGCATCTGCACATAAAACAAGTACTTTACTCTCTTAGCATTTTGAAAGCGCGGCGTAAGCCTTGGCAGCACACTCTATAAGTTGCTCCAAAACACCACCCTGAAATCTTAATCCTAGCACCTGAGCTACAGGCCCTAACCCTACACCCTAAACCCCTGAGCCCTAAAGCCCCAAAGCTTAACACCCTAAACCCTAATCCCTAATACCTGTTTGGTACCAAGCCTGGCTCAATGCTGCTGGGCAGATGAGCCATGTTGCTCCTGGGATACTTCTGAGGCTTAGTGTTTCGTGTTTAATAAGGCTCTAGGGGTAGGTGTATAGGGATCTATAGCAGCAGTATGAGGGCTTATCTTTTGAGGATGCGTATATGGATTTCATAGCGACTGACTTGGGAGTATCATCTAATCTGCTATAAAGAAAAACCCAGTCCCCATGTCATGTTCCATTTGATCCTCCACTATTGTCTTAACACCCTCCAACTCGATAGGTTCCCTGTATGCTCCCTAAATGATCCCGAAATCAGGTTCAAGTATACACGAAAAGGCAGTTTCCATAAATAGGACCGCAGTTTAGACCCCGCTATACTGCAATCCTCAGTATGCAACCCCCCCCCCTAAAAAAATACCTCTATACATCCCCATAGACCCTGTACTATGATACAGTCTCTGCCTAGACCCTCCGATGTAACTCCTTTTTGGGTTTGGTTTTATTTTGGGTTAAGACTCTTATTAGGACTACCAAAAAAGTACTACATGGTTTACCTAAACCCTATAACAACAGCCCAAGGCTCATGGTACACCAGAGAGGAGTTTGGGTGTCGCCATCCCATTCCCGAATCTCAGCCACCTATTGTGGCAGGGGTTTAGGGTTTAGAGCTCAGGGTCTAGGGTTTAGCCCCCCGCCCCTGCCCACACGCACCCTAAATAAACACCCGAACATTGGATATTAGGATGTTTTTTTCTTGTAATGTGTGTGGGCTTATTGGGGTAAGGGATTAACGATGATGGCGGCATTGACGCTTGAAAGCTGTAACTTACTCAAAAGCTAGGTAGGTATATTAGCATATACAGAAACACATTTGTTTTCTGTAGTGGTACTTGTATAAGAAGAACTATAGCACGTTACCAGGTTGTAACTTGGGTGTCTCCTAGCTGGCTTAAACTTGATTCCACTCTGGGATCGTTCATGCAACGCAAGAACCATCAGCGCGCTGCGTATAACTTGCAATCCGTGTTGTAGATGATAACCCATGCAGTGGCCCATGCAGCTAGCAAGTTGGAACAGCTGTCCTGCCTTTAATATGCAATCTCGCTGAAGTGAGGGAACTGACATGTGCCAAAGGCCATCCGACATACGCGCGCTAGCCTGCTTTCTAGATCAAACGCAGTCTTCAGCGTACCCACCTCACAAGCAAGATGATGGCAAAATGAATCATCATAGAATGAGGCGTGCCCCTTTTCAAAAAGAGGGCACAACAGTAGACAAGATGACAGCAGGAACAACGATATTCACTCTAATCCCCTCATGCTTGTATTCAACGCGCCTCCCACCCCTAAGATGAAGTTATTCCCCAGAAGAGACCTTATAATTACATTGGGGTGGGGGGGGGGGGGGGNNGTATTTAATGTTAGGGGTGCGGGGATGTTGAATATATTTTTTTGAAGGGACCATCCACAGGCGAGCCTTAATCCGGGCGAAGCCAATGCGCTGCCATTCAGCGCCAGCGACATATCCAGTGACGCGCGAATATAGGGAGAGGATCACATCCAACTGTTCCTAGGTTGGGCTGGATGCTTGAGACTCTTGTACAGTTCCTTGCAGAAAAGGTCCAAACTGCCAAGATAGTTTGAGCCATTACTGAGAACCAGAACAGAAGCCGATCCTCGACCTCCTAGAAGATCAGCAGAAACGATTCCCAAATGGTGCAGCGCAGGGTCAGGACTTAAATCACCGATTTCTCCCCTATGTGAACTTTGAGATAATGCTGGGGTCTGTTTTGGGAAGCTGCATCTCCTGGATCCGGGAAGTCTCCGTCACAGGCTACGGTTCAGGGTTATGAATCCCCCAGTAAAAGCCGGTCAAGACTGATGACTTAGGACCTTATAACCAGGACCTTCCTTGTACCCTTAATTGGGGATATATGGTCCCTAATACTTAGGCCCTAATAGAGGGTAGGAGGAGGGCCTAGGAACAGCTCCTGGGTTTGATCCTCAATCCTGAA